TTCAGCAGGGCACCCACCCTCAGCCTCGGAGCTGGAGATCAGTCTCTTCTTAGCCCGACGTTTTCGTACTGTGGGACTGGACTGACTGCTAGTTTCGTCACTACTTGACTCATCGTTGCTAGCCTGAGATGAAAAAACTGAAAACCGACATAGAACAGTCTTTATAACATATTAATTGTTGCTTTAAAGATCAATTTGAGTACCAAAATCCATCATATTTATGCAAAATGTATTTGGCATTTATCTTAAAGAACACAAATAAAACAAAATTAAAATTCTGAATGTGATAGTGTATACTGGATATTATGCAAGGAATGCTTGATCTCCAAAGTTAAAAAGTCATTTTTTAAAAGAAAAATATAAAGAATCAAGAAATCGTCAGCAAAAAAACTGTACAGCACTTCCCCATCCCTTTTAATTCACTCACTAGATAAGTGTTTCTTTCAGACAATCCTGCCTCTTAAAGCATCTATACATACTGCCTCTGCAAATTCTGGTGAAGTGGAAAGGTTAAGAATTCACTCTTCCTTCTTTTAGAGATATTGAGACTGAAGTATTTAATAACAGAAAGGCTTGCTAAAAGAAAGTCTCCTAAAAGACAGGCGTGGTTCTATTATATTCTCTCAAAAAACTTTTGCGATCTACATGCATCTGCAGACAAAATTCAATTAAAGCTCCATTAATGGAGGCATTATAAATATCCAAGCAAAACTCTGCATTGCAAATATATTTAAATATGTAATTTTGTTTACTTTTAATAGCTACCATATACTACCTATTAACATCTTTACCAGCCTTTCAAAAAAACCACTTTCAACCACTACTGGACACAAAAAGCAGCACTCAGGTGCTTCTGTGTTTGTCCCTCCCTAACACTGAATCCAAAATGCTTCTGTTGCCTGAATGATGTTTTGGAAGACTCGATCAGCCAAGATCTGAGTTAAGAACAAATTCTAACCATAAAAAAAAAATCTTTTATATCATTTTTGTAAAATACTATTTGTGATACCATTTGTATGTTCATCTTTCTATGGCTCAAAATCTAACTGCGAAAATAACAAGAGAGCTGTAACTGCTTGTTGGTATTAGTGGGACAAATTCTTGCTGCACTGTACTGTAAATAAATTGATATAATCTAGTATATACATAATGATTATTTAAACTCCCTCCCTTGAAAGCATCATTTTCAAGTGTCAGGCAAATATCAAGGGGGAGCAGCAGAAGGGTGGAAAAAAAGCTTTCAAATTATCTATGTTTGCATACCTAATTCACATGCCTGAAATAGACTGAATGTGATCAATGAAGTCTCCAGCACATGACAAAGTACTCTTGCTCAGACAGTTCCAAATTTGATGCCCATAATTACACAATGCTAATGCCCCTTCTAGAAATTAAGTTGTTCATTCTCATATCAGAGATCATCACTCAAATGTAAAAAATACAGAATTACTGTCCTTGAACATTTCACAACTGAAAATCATTTGTTTGAGCAAAGCCATGCACACATCACTGAATAGACAAGAATGCCAAAGCAGTGCTAGCCAGTACCTATAAAAAGCATTACCAGTTAAGATTCTTTGCTGAAAATAAATTCCAACTTAATAGAAGTGATGGCATTAACCCCAGAAAAGATTACCAATTAGTATCTGGAATACATGTCTAATTTCTGACTCCACGGACAAGCAACAGGTCAAAAAACCCAAGGTAATTTCCCCTCTTACTAAAAAAAAAAAAAAAAAAAAAAAAATCTATTTTGTCAATTAGTCAAACCAGACTGACCAAGCAGATACTGCAACAAAGACAAATCACTGAAACAGCTACTTCACGTGCAGATTCTTAAATGAATTTTTATAGCTTGGCAGAAAATGACATTTTAGAATCAGTCATTTAAACAGATGCATACTTCCCCAGTCCTGGAAAATGAAGACAAGCACTCAGAAATTAGTCAGGAGAGAGGTATTCTTACTAGCATGCAGAGGTCAGACATTATAAAGGATAATACAGCACATACTTAGTAAGATAGGTGTTATTATTGCTTATTTGGGTTTTTTAGAGTTTTTTCAGCAACCAAAGAACCTTACACATATGGAATACAAAAGTGGTTAAGGAACAAGCTGCTTCTAGCCAAACGGGAAATTCTTTAATATACACTTGACAGCGAAGTATAGGAAAGGGAAAAAATCAAAACAATCAGAAAGCAAAGAGAAGAAGCTGTAAGACACTTAGAGCCATTCATAAGCACTTACTGGCAAGCTGTCAACAGCATTATGCTTTCAGGCAAGAATGACATTGCCTTACAGCTGCTGTAATAACTCCGTGCAAAGCTGTACTCTAACATTCACAGGATGAAAAGGAATATAAATGAAACAAAGTGTGACCACAGTAGCAGTCCAAAATTCTAGCTTTTGCTATGATTTTGAGGTGTCAGATCTACACTAGAAACCAGATGAAGTAACAATGTGATGTTCTTTTGACACTTCTGAACAGACACATCTCAAGCCTAGATGCAGTTTATTTCACTCTATGAGCGATGCTGCTAGTTAACTTCATTCACAAAGCAGTACTAAGACATTTCTGATGCATGGTGAAGACAGCCAGGAATTGGTTTGCAAGTAAAAGTGGCAGAAAATTCTTGTAGAACGTCTTCGTACCTACATTAGGAACATCTGAAGCTCCTCCTTTTCCAGCACAATAGAAAGCTCAACAAGAAGTGGATGGCAAAGACTTCCATTGCCAAAAAGTGGTACAAAAATTTTGACAGCTAAAAGTTTGGCATTTAAAAGTAATGCAAAAGTACTCCAGACTGTCAATCAAATGCACAGCACTAAAGACCATGCTGAGATCAGCTTAAGTTAAAAGGAAGAAATTCTTTTTGCCAGTCACACATAGATTTGGAAACCAACAAGAACCTTTCATTTAAATGGTCAAGCACACATACTAAAATGTATTACAAAACTTACTGGTGCCCACTCCAAATTCACATGTAAATTCAACATTTTTAAAAAAAGCAAATAAAGCACTGACAGCTTAGCCAAATTCTTCAGTGAGGACTGGCTTTCAGCATCTGTTTGGAATATCACTACTACAAGATCAAGTCAGATTGTTACTGATAATTTTAAGCACACTCCATGCAAACCACAAGCAATCAGCTTTACACAAGCTGATCAAATTTAATCACACCACCTTGGAAAGGAAGACTGCGAGACACATGCTCTTTCACCTCATTTCCCCATCCCCTTACACAATCAGGAATCTTCCTCAGCTTCTCCAGCCAACTGACTTTTGTGTACAAAAACACAGCGGGGGGGAAATAAAAACAGTTTTAGAATTCAGCCTTAAAAGAAAAAAGAAAGCCAACTAAATTTTAAACTAAAAATTAAGTCAAACCATCCAGAAGACATAAAGAAGGTGACAGCTTTGCTATGAAATATTACTGGTCATTATTAGATGCTAAGCTGTCATTTTGCGATTCCACCGTATGCTACACTGATACATTAACCTTTAATGATGCTTTATTCTACTTTTAAGATAAAACAGTATTTTAAGAAAAATCCTGCTCTTGTAATAAACTTACTTTGAAAGGTAAAAATCAGTATACAAAAGTGTTACAGAGAATAAAGAGAACAGAAAAGACTACAAATAAGCAGCCAAACAGAATTAAAAAGGAAGACTAGAGAACTAGATAAGAGTAACACAACAGTAAGGGGTTTTTGTTTGGGTTTGTTGGCTTTTTGTTTGTTTTTAATTGGCCAAATATTCACATCCTTCCTCTTCAATATCACCCATCGCATTTCTGCTGAGTACTGGGAGTATCTTAGAAGTATACATATATATTCTACATAGCTATGAAGGTAAGCAAAAAGGTTTTGTAGTCATGCTGCTATTAGCCATCATGGCCCCAAAATCAATTCTCTCCCAGTTGCCGGTTATTTACGACAATTCTATAAAAGCCAAAAAAATTGCCATGAGACAAGCTACAACTGTTCTATGAACTAAAAGCCACGTTAATTCTCCAAAATATGCTAGAAATTTACTTTTTATTTAAAATAGTGAACATTTAATGGGAGAGAATACTTTCAAATAAAAAGACTGCAGACATATATTCGGACAAAGTTTTCGAGTTAGGGCAACTAGAGTTGTCCTACAGACTGCAAATACTTGGACACATAGACAACAAGACCATGTTTTTTTCCCCTCTCCACACAAAGAAGGTTCCCTAAGCAAAGATTCCCCCCACACCCCAGTGACATTTTTGCACACCATTGCCTAGTAACTTATTGCTCTTACCAGTTTCTAGGTGGGAAAACGCATATTGACTGCTAGAGGAGGAACCCATGTTAAAATCCTCTGAACCTCCAACTTCATCATCAGCTGGAGCTTCCTCCTGACTTGGAGTTTCTTCTGGTTTTGGGGCTTCAAGTGTAACAATGTCAGGACAATGTAAAAATTATTCAAATAAATACAATATAAAGTAATTTTTAAAAATAGCAAGAATCCTTAATGCTTTAAAAAAAAAAAAAGGAAAAATAAGTTATCTTTCTTTTAATGCCTTCAAAACATTGCTTAGCATGGTTAGATAGGGCTTACAGAAGCTTCTGAACAATGTAATGTAATTTACCTCTGGAACTGTCTCAGTTTCCTCAAAAGCTGGGAGAGTACTATCTACCACTGGTACCTCTCCTTCATTGCTGCACTGAGCTACACCAGTAAAAGCAGGAAAAAACAAAGAAACATGGGATTAAAACCAGTAACTCCACAAATTATGCCCACTCCCAAACAGTATTAATATATGTATAATTGTGACAGATTTCTATTATCTACTCATATCAGTGAAGGTTTTCTAAAAATACACTAAATCTCATCTTTAGTACCCCTCTAACAAACCTCAGAATCCAATTCATCATTATGTAATAGAACGCTTTGGAGGGTGCTTAAATTGAAATGCTCATACTGGTCATAATGCAAGTAATCAATAAATGAAAAGCACAGTTAGATAAAAACCAACACTATACGCTAAGTTGATACCACAATACGTTTCTAGGCTAGCATAATTAAAATATTTTCCAGATAGTCATTGGAGTTTGAATGTCTAGTTCCGTTTCTACAAGCAGAGGTTATGAATTCAGAAACATGGCCAAGCTGAAATTTAGTGAGCTGAACCTGTCAAGTCAGTGTTCTCATGCCACTATTAACAAACTGAGTATTAAATTTCATAATTAAAATAAGTGGAAAGATTTTCATTATATTAATATGCACCAGACCTACACTTCCAACTCAAGAAATGCCACAATATTATTTTTTAGGTATAAAAGCATTGATGGCTCCTTCCAAATCACTCCTATTTGATCTATGACATTAGTAAAGAATGTTTAATATAGTAAATTTCTTTTACCAATAGCACTTCTATAAACTATCTTCCAACAACACCAGTGCATACTGTTCTATAAGACATCTAAAGCACTGACGAAGTAAAAGACATTCAACTAATTTAACCTATTTCAAGGAAAAATATGTAAAGTTGATGACTGAATATTTTCTGTAACACTGATGAAGCAAGTACTTTGACAGAGGCCTACAAAGTATACAAACTCTATTAAAATAGACACTTCTTTCATGCAACTGCTCCTCTTTTAATATCTTACCTTGCAAATCTATTGGTTGCTCCACTTCTTGCAAAGAAACATATTCTTCTGAAACAAACTCATGGTTATCATTTGTGCTTCCATTTTCTGAAGTCACTGTCTCTATGTCAGAGCCCTGGAGTTGAAGAGTTTTAAACGACCATTACAGTTACTGGAGTTTTCAAAGGGTTACAAAGAGAACATTAACAGTAAAAACAGAAGAGAAGAACAACCTTTAAAAAGGAATAAGATTTTAAGCAAAGAAAAAGCAAGAGAAATACCAACTAACTAACTAGAGATCAACTGTTAATGTGTAACACTCATGACCATGACTGAAAAAAGGCAGAGGAGGGCAATTCTAGAAAAAAGAAAAGGCAATTTAGGCATCAATTAACAACTATGCTAAGTATTTTAAGTAACTATTTCCTATCAGCTTTATTAGGCCTATTTATTAAATAGAATTCAGAGAAATAGAGGAGGTTGTCAAATGGGTTTTGAATATGGGATCTAGTTCTTGCACACATGTCTATGTATATAAATACACACCCTCCCCAAAAAATGGAACTTCAGGAGTACCACCATGAACTCTAGTAAGTACTAGTACCAGGAAAAAAGTGTGTATAACTCTACTCCATCTCAATTCCTGTCAGCAAAGTTGAATGGCTGTTTTAACAGTACATCTCTGACACCATGAAAACATATATTTATACAATCTCTAAATTGGATTTCTGTCTTTAATCCAGAAACCAGCCTTAGTTACTAGTCAGCTGCCAGTCAGAAACAACCTCAGAGCAAAACAGGAACTGAAGATAAACAGCACATGGAGACTGCAGGGCACTAAAGGCAAGCAATATGGTTGACAACTCTAAATATTTAACCTTCATATTGTAATTTTTGTTTAAAAGAACTGATGGAACACAAGCAAGGTTATCATAAACATGCAAAACACAACTGAAAAATACTAAGTCATTCTGATCCATAAATAACTTGAGCTGTTTTTGTAAACAGATAGTTATTTTTGCAACAGCAGGTGTGAAATTACAGTAGTAGTAATACTTCCAGATCACTTTCCCTAAACACCTCATTTCAGGACCCAAGCAAGTATGTATACTTCTTTTTCTTTTAAGAGAAGACCGTACTTCAGGAAGGTTAGATAACTCAAAAAGAGTTGCATAAGATGCATTCTACAATCACATTTACAAAGTTCTGTTCCTTTTTAAAAGGGTTAAAAAAATTAACTGCCTCAGTAATTTGACAAATACTTTGTATGTTTTTTCTTTTGACTACAAAAGTATCACAACTGATCTCAAATGTTTTGCAGAAATTCACCACTCAATCATAAGTAACTTAGCAAAATCTGAGTAAAATGTCAGGAAAGAAAATACAAAACTATTTGGGGGTTTCAGCTTGGCTGGGATTCATAGATAGGTACACAGATTTATTATGCGACAATTGTTCTCTGGTGTAATGGAACCATTACTTTCGTTTCTTAAGTTGTGAGGAAGAGTAATAAAAATTTAGTTTGCCAAGGTTCCATAACAAGGCAAGCATCAGGGATATATCTTAAAACAGATTAAAATTTTAGCTAAAATATCAAGAAACTGGGCTAGCCAAGTACAAGGTAAGCCATCCTTTTTTAAACACATGCGGTCTGGTGTGGACATCTGAACTCTCCAATTCACTTAATCTGTTGCTAGACCTCCATCACCCTTCTCCATCAGCAGTGAAGAGGTTGTGAAAGGATATTTTCTCCTCACTACACTCAATTTCCTACACTACTACACAAAATTAGCAAGCCCTTTCTTAAGGGTAGTCCAACGATACACCCCATCATCTCTCTGTGCAAAGCGGATGTTGAATCGAGCCAATAGATATTTCTTGCCCCTCTTAACTGGGTGCCTTTGTAAGTGGCAAAGCAAACCCAGAAGCTCCTTCTGTTGTGTCATCCTCAATACAGGTTGCAATAATATATGAGAAAGTAATACTATAGTATTCCAAATTTGTCTAGTCCTTAGCTCTATCCCTTTCCTAAACATGAAAATCATTTCCCTGAAGTATACAGTAGTCCACATGTCAGCCCTTCCCTGGATAACCAGTGGGAAGGGTACCTAGCCATCCCATTCGTTCTCCCTTCTTCATGCTCAGATTCAAAGCTGTCTTGCTGGGAGAATACCAATAATGGGAGCTCTGAAACACCAGTGTTTTCCCACTCTGAACAGAATTATTTTATTTCTTTTAATCAGGGAAGAATAACTGGGAACAGAAAATCTCTACGCCACAGAAATCTGTTCTGCTTTGGCTAGACAAATCCCTGCCTTCCTATAATCTTGTATTATGTTAGTTTATCTAGACTGCATAATGCATATTCAGTTACAGCGTAAAATAACCATCCCAAAAATGAAAATAAAGTCTGCAATTCACAGCTGAGTAACCCAACTGTTGTGGCAAACTCCTAAATCCTTTCACTTTTATCAGACATATGTAGAGTTCAGCAGCCTGTGCACTCCTGTATCCCGCTCAGTCTTGGGGACTGGAATGAGTGGGTTTTTCTGTTTCTCTTTTGATGTCAGGATTCCCAACTTGTCATCCAACGCAAAACAAGGAAAAGAAGTTGTAACCATCTCTTAAATACCACCTTGTTGTCAACAGAAATGAAACCATGGCCCAGCATTTATAAGCCACAAACCGTATCTCTTGCTTTTGAAGCCAAACTTCCAAAACTTGAGTACAGTCACAAGCTTGTAATGGCTTGCCTTTTGAATTATAATCTGCAAACGGGGTAGCATGCAGTGAAGGAGAAACAGCTGATCAATACCCAAGATCTCTTCCCACTATTTCCTGGTTTCCTCCTGTGAATGAAATTTCTCAAGTACTGTTCCTTGAAAATGTTTTGGGGCAGGCATAAGAAGATACAGCCAGCCAATATGAAAGCATCATTCCAGGAAAAGAATTAACCCATTTTCTTGGAGGACTCTGGCTCAATAGCCCGCTCAGTTGACAAGACAATGCTAAATACTTAAAAACAAAACAAACAAAAAACCCCGATACTACAGCCACACACTAACCAAGATCTGAAGAGACACAAAAAACCTCAGGACTAAAGGAAAGCAGTATATTGGAGGTCCACACGAATAGGTAGGGCCCTTCCGGGTTTCTGAGCAGCTTAGGCCTGCTAGGGCCTCACCACTAGGGGAAAGTAAGATAAAACATTAATCGTACCTACTTCAAACATAAACGTACCTAACTTCAAGTGCCTACATCCGAGCAAATCGCTGAAGGCACCTTTGCAGTCAATACAGTCAGTGGAGGTAAGACAGCAAGCCATTTGATCCAGTGTAACTGCTGACCTTGGCATAGGAATTACCACTCTCTCACTGATTGTATTGATTGGATCTATACAATGCAAACTTAGAAACCAACATCAGACCCAGACGCCTACCCTGTCGATACCTAGGCAACCACGAATTTCATCGCTTCACTTTTTTTCTTTTATCTCAAGCTTTATTCTACTAGAAATTAAAAATTACTTTTGTTTTAATAAAGCCACTGTCCTTTTAGCCAACTAGTCAAACATCAGAAGACAGGAAACAAACACACAAATCAACCCAGGGCTATGCAGACATAACAGTGACTATACAAAGAGCTACACCCCAAGGCTTGATCAAAGAATGAGGGAATTCTAGCATTTCATCCCAAATAAATGTATGCCTAATAAATCAAGCTATAGCAGAGATCAAAAGATGGACAGAAACACAACTGAAGGCATACAAATTTGACAGATCTCCACACATGAACTGAATAAGTTTTAAAAGACAGCAAGTATTCTGAATCAAGAACAGCTTTTCACTTTGCACACAGTCTGTTAGCTGCTGCCTCACAATCTACCATCACAACTTCCTTGCACAGTAATTGGTAATTTTGTATATTTCCTTGTGGAAGCTACCTCTTCAGTGACAGTTTGGCTAATGGAAAAAAAAAAATTCTCTTAATTACTGCCACTAGCTCAGCCCTGCACTGCGGTATGAACTCTTCCTCCACAAGGTGCCAACACCCAGGTTATTTCAACACATTTTATGCCTTGCATTCTCCTGCCTGAACAATAGGGCCAAGGAAACCCGGAACTCCAGCGTGAACTCCAAAGAACTTGTGCTAAAAACTGCTGCAAGTCCCTAGAAAACACAAACGAAAGTCACTTCAAAACTCAAACATTCTCACAGAAGGATCTCTTACCACCTCCAAGGTTCCTTCAGGCTGTTACAGTTTTCAAGACCCTCCACGCAGAAGTACGGCAGCCCTCACCAATCATCATTTTAAGCTTGGAGAAGGCTATACTTCTCATTCCTGACCTCACAGCACAGATATAAGGAGAGCTGTCTGGCCTTCCCACCACCTTCATTTCCCAGTAAACCTAATAAAATGTTGGCATTCCTCTACTCACTGTAGCTTCCCCCAGACTCCAACTGAGGCAAGAAAGCCCAGAAAATGTCAGTATCTTGGGTATGGAATAGATCATTACACACTCTCTGTAACGTAACTCTCTCCAAGGGATTTCCAACCAGCCTTTGCAAGACTTCATTTCCGGAGACGCCAGGATGCCCTCAATTCCCCATATCTCTCCTTCTCAATGCACAACAGCATTCCACGCAAATCAAAGTGCTTAAAATCGTGGAAATGAGACCCAACAGGCCTATGCACGTCTTTCTCCAAGCTGCCCAAGCATTCTGTAAGCAGAGTGAGGCAATACAACAGATCAGAGGCAGCACATCACACAGCTGTCAATGCCAGTCCTCAACCTCCCCAGCTCAGAGGCTCAACTCAAAGACAGAGACTGTTCCAGCTAGGAACAAAAGCAGCCAGCTATGCACAAATATAAAGATAACGGCTATAGCATTTACATGAACCTTGAAAACGCCTTCTACTAATATTCTGGTCACTGAGTATAAATTTGTCTCTATCCTGTTTTTCACAGTAAGAAAGACAGAAGGTAAGGACAGAGGGCTGTTCCTGAAGCCAGGTTCAGGTAGTTTAGTGGTAGAAAAACCTGGAGGAATCATGGAATCATTTTCTTCTGCATGAGATGTTTTTCCTGTCCATTGTTCCCAACCTTTTCGGGGGGGCGGGGGGGGAACACAATTAGGAGATTAAAACAAGAAATATATTAGCAACTACAGACAAGTTACATAGAACGTCAATGTTTTCAGGAAAGATGGAAAAAAGGAGAGCATCTTATTAAAATTCTAGCAATTCTTCAAAGTAAAATCTCTGAAGAATAAAATTATTCTTCTAAATAACAAAATTTGTATCAGCTATAGTACAGAATACATATTTTTGAACAGTAGTTTTATGTTTTATTATTTCTCTTCTATATTCTCTGTTGATATGCAAACTCCACACAAAACAAACTATAAAGCTGAAGTAATATTTTACTGTATATGGCTAGTCTTAAACTGAAAGAACTTTATTAATTTGAGATTGGGTACCTCATGATTGATGACAGTCCAGCCACAAGATGAATCACTGTCACTGGAATTTTCAGACATTTTCCAAGCACACTGCAAGTAAAAGTAGATTCTTTTAACATGCAAGGTACATAATGTCACTGCTCTCTTGAAAAACAGAAAGAAAACAGAAGAGTCCAAATCCTGATGTTACAGAACACTACACTAATGCACAAACTGTTATTCTGGAATTGAAAAAAAAAAAAAAAAAAAGAAAAAAGTTTAGAAAGAAAATACATATTTTTTAATACGTATTTCCCTTTGTTTTTTTAATACTCAGAGCAAATATATCTTTGGTAGGAACATACCTATTTTAGCCAGCCAAAAAGCTCTTAGACTAGCTAAAAACACACTCACACAAGGCTAGGAAATAAATCAATAATTAAATTTAAAATTTGTCTGTACCATCATTGTTTAAGGCATGTTTCAGTAGGTGAAGTCATTTCTGAATTGTTACACACACAGGAACTACACTGTATTCAAGAAAATCACCTTTTCTGGGAGAAGGTACAAATTAGGATCTTTTGGAACTAATTCTCTTCAATTACTGGGCAAAACAATGTTTCATGTTTCTTTCCCTCCTTTCAAGTACTCTTAAAAATACTGATTCTGAAGAAAATTGAGAGAGAACCTGGTGAGTACAAAAGCAGAACAAAAAAACCAGAAGTACAAATTTTACTTGTTACAATACTACCAGATGGCTTTGGTAGTTATTTGCAGAAGAGAGGTGTCTGGCTGCAGCTGCCCATTTATTTTTCTCCTGTACCAGGAATACAGAGTATTCATTATTGCTACACATCCAGATTATTTTTTTTAAAGTTCTTAACTAACAGAAAGACTTTAAAAAGAAATTTAATGCATTTCTTGTTCCTTAAAATAAAAATATATCAAGTTGTTAAATAAAACTTACTATAGATTTATCTTGGGGGGGAAAAAAACTTGCCCAAAACAGAACAATTTCCAATTAATTTTGTGTTAATAAAACAGCAAAAGAAATCATGGTTCAATAAACCTGTCAATATATTCATCATTTTCGACAAAAGCAGAGAGTTCTGAGAACTTCACACATCTGCTTTATTTCCCACACCTAGCTAATTCCGGGAAGAACACAAAAAAGCATCTACTTGTTTAAATTTATTTACTCTTTGCTTTATCATCAATCCTGTCTTCACTCAATTTGTTGACACAAAGAATAATACAAACCTTGAATTAGAACATTTAAATATGCCAGTGTGGCTAGAGTGTTGCACAACAAAATATAAAACTTCCGATTCCATTTAGGTTTCTTAAAAATTACAGTAAACACATCTCACATATCTGCATTCTGGTAGTTATCCTGTTTTTCTAATAGAACACTTTTCCCTCATCAACTTCAACTAACATATTTGGAGTTCCTCTGTAAAAAAGGTAATGCTGACAATCACAATCACAGTTTATAAAGCAAAAATATCCACTAGCAATCAACTTGGGTATCAAATTTAGAGAGAAGCTGGATATCTATTTCTTATAAAGCCCTAGTTTGAATACAGTTGTTGCTTTCATTTAGATCTTTTTCTTCCTTCCTTAGTGCTTTTCCTGGAATCTCAGCGAGGGAACATCAGGAGTGAGGGGCACTTTGGTTTGTGTTGTTTAGGGCTTTTTTTAAAATCATGATGTATTCAATCATCAAAAAAAATTTTAACTCGTTATTTTTTCTTAAATCATACGTCTTCAATCATCAAAATAACAAACGCCCAAATTGCAAAGACTGCATTTCAAAGTTCTCATAAGATGATAACATCTGCTTGCTGTCATTAAATTATTTTTAATTTGACCAGGCATTCTGCAGCAGCACTCCTTTCAGAGGAAGGTAACTGCCAGCACCAGAACTTGCCACCTATCAGACACATCGCTGGCTACATTGCAAAAACTGTACCGGTGATGTGAAATTATCTTGTAAGAATTCTCTTCAGTATAAAAACATTTCCATTTAATTATTCTACAGTTCAGTGAATAGAGCAACCATAAGAGCACCAAATTTATTGTCATTGAAACCAAGCCTTTTGCATAACCACAAAAAATAGGGTCCGGGGCAGATAGAGTACAGGCGGCTACCCAGATCTTACTAGCGAGCCTGATCTCTGCTGTGGAAGAAATTCAGGCTGTGGTTTCATAACACAGCAATTCCGGTGCTAGTGCATCTCAGTGCTAGATGAAAAACAATGAAGTCACATAAAGCAAATCCTTTAGTGGGCCAAAAAAAAAAAAATCTGTTGATACAAGTGCATTTATAAATTTTAAAAGGGCAAGTTTTAACAGCAGACTGTGTGCTGGACGTTGTAACGTCTGTCTTCCTCCAGCTAGCTCAGCATTTCATCGTGGGCCCTGGCTAACTCAACATAAACGCTATTGTGTTCTCCCTCTCCATCCAGATCACAGACTGGCAGGCAATTTAGCACTGCTAAAACCAGTTCTACTGAATACACAACCACAGCCTCAGGGCTTCAGGGAGCATTAAACACCTGTCTTCCCTTCCCAAACAAAAGCTTTGGGACCTAACTATGTAGGTATCAGTATAATCAGGAAATATTAAAAAAAAAAACAAAACAGAGAAACAAGCAGACAAACAATCATTATTTTCTACTATTTGCTGGCCTTGAGTTAAAAGTTACTTATCTTGTATTCAACCAGAATATTATACTAATACTGCATATTTAACTGCATACAGGTGATCAATCTCCAAAATAGTGAAGTTTTTATCATCAAGAAGAAAAATGAAGTAAAAAAGAGTAACTACAAGATCACTGAGGTTTACAAGTAGAACTGCTATAGTATGGCATCAGACTGAAAGGCATCTCTAGGGTCACTGTACTTCTACAAGCACATTCAGCAAACATACACGTGTAAAACAGTTATCATAAGTAAAGCATTTTATTAATTATAATTAGTTAGTTCTAAAAGAGCAAAACAGCCTAAAAAGCTTTAATAAAAAAATACCTTGGTACAGTTTTTCTAAACTTCAATCACCAGCTAGAGTAAACAGCTCATTTCTGTAAAAGATTAATGTAACACACAAAGTCATAGCTAAACCTGAGGTCAAATCCAGTTCCTTAAGTAAACTGAAATGCAGAAGACTGATCTGACCTACTCAAAGTCTTCACCAGCTTCTATTCTCCACCATCAAATGCCAAAGACCCACCACAAACCGCGAGGCTTTTTGTATCGGCCCAAAGGTGCTGGATACAGCTGGCACTGTCTTCCTAAATGCAAGCTATTAAAAAAAAAAAAAAAAAAAAAGTGCTTTGGGCAGGTATTAAACAGACATGAAGCCTGAAAACTTCCTAACGAACCAAGATGATGCTAACGGGTTCTAGTCCAATAACAGCAGGGATAACCGGAGGATATAGTAGAGTATTCCACATCTCCTGTACGTCAAGCCAAGCCAGAAGGAAAAATTGAAAAAAACAAACACACCCTTCCCACAGACAGCTGCACTGGTTTGGCTTCCCACCACCCACCTTCATCGCCACTATTTTTCAAAAGAAAGGCACAGTTCAATTTCTTCTATACTCTGGTTTAAACTCCTAGGCTGATTTCAGGCCCACAAACGTCCTACACTCTCAGTGACATCGCCTTTTAAATCCCTATCTAGACAAAATAAACATCCATTATATTCAGAAGTCAACCTCTATGTTGGTGGGGGGGAAGGGCGCGGGGGACAGGGAATCAGAAGCGTGAATTACCTTCCTAACCTTAGCGGAATGCAAACCAGAAGCACAAGGCATGAAAGTTTACAGCTAGATGTTGATGAGGCAATACCAAGTTATCCCACATACCTAAATGAGACACCGTATCCTATTTATCCTCTGTGAAGCAGAACAAACACCAGCCTCAGACAGAATAACCATTCCAGTCTAAACAAACCCCTAAGTTCTTCTGCCTTAGATGAGGATTTCCTAGGTTAAAAAAACCTCAATAAGCGTTGACAAAGATAAGTAACAGGGCACCAACAGGAACCCGTATTCTTTAGATTTGCTGCGCTGTCATTCCAAGTAAAAACTCACAGTGCTCTTCTACCGCGGAGTTATACTTCAGGGTTTTCCTGCAAGGTTATTATCTCTGCTAAGCTGTATGATTTCTTCCCCAAAGTAACCTTCTCCTTCACGAATATATTTAGCCACCCATACAGACCATTTCCTTGCTACCATTCCCCACCAAGGCCAACGGGGCTTCCGCTAGCCAGCCCCCCCCCCAGCACCGGCGCCTCTCTCCCC